ACTACAGTACAGCCAACCAGGAGTAAGTGTAGTGTCTGTCAGCCAGCCGCGTGAGATTGTGGTTGGAGTGTGGTTGTCTTGTGTTGAGGCGGGGGTCGGCGCACATCACATCACATACAAGCGCTGTCTTTTTTCCTCTTCTCCCTTTTCCCACCCTTCCTGGCCTTCCTGTTGGCCTGCCTGCCTGCGTCTCCCCCTTCTCTCGCTGACTCACCCACCGTCTGTTTCCTTTTGCCGTTTTGCCCTGCTGCTTTCGTTTTTGGACGCGCAGCGTCACTGCGGACCGGACTGACGTCGACTGAGAGCGAGGGAGTGAGTGGGTGGGTGGGGAGTGGGGGCAAACTGCTAGTCAAGGGTGCCTGTCTGTCTGTGTGGTTAATTGCTCGTCATGCGTGCGTCGCGCCAGTGGCTTTGTACTGCCTCGTGTGTGCCGTGGCTTTACCTTTTTTCAATGGGCGTGTGTACACGTCCCATTGTGTTCATCAGCTCTCTTGTCTGTCTGTCTGGCTGTCCAGGAAGGTGGTGGTCAGTCGGCGGCGTGCCTGCGCACTGCGTGAGCAGCTGGCGCGTGCACGCTGCCTGCGGACCGTGGTGGCGTCTGATGCATTCGTTCATTGGGGCGGAGGGGTGTCAATGGGGTGGGGTGCGGGTCCGTGTCTGGCGCAGACAGTGACGTGCCTTGCCTGCCTGCCTGCCTGTGTCTGTGTGTGGGTGAATTTGCGTGCCTCTGTGCCTCTGTTTGTGTGTGTGTGTGTGTGAGCAAATGACACTTGCAGTGTGGTATGCTAATGTATTGCTATTCAGAACGCGCAAACGAAATGCAATCGATCACCACCCGCATGCACACATCACACCAGACACGCGCCGAAAATAACGCAGAATTCGGAGAGCACACCCGCGCACACACAGAAGTTGTCCTTCGTGCATACACTTATTCGAAGAAACACATCAGGGCAGGATGACGACATACACACAGGCAGAGAGCCACAGCCACTTACTCATTACAGTCAGTCCAGCCACCACACACACACTTCAACAAACACACCAATACACAGACACAGGGACACCAGCAGTGTGCTGACAGACCAGCTGCACTCAGGCGTGGAGGCAGGGAAGCAGACAGACAGACAGACGAGGGCGCAGAGAGGACCGCTAGTGGATGGCACCTATTTATATCAGTGCAGCACAGAGGGCAACGCACATCTCCGTCTCTCCCCCCCTTCGTCCCTCACTACTGCACCACACGCAGCACTTCTATCTCGTCAGCCATGAACTTAACCGACCCGCCCAACAGAGCTACCTGTCAACCACGTGCAGTATCTCTATTTCATCCGCATGGAACAAACTCGACCCAGCCAGCAGAGCATTGCCCGAGTCATCCCTCACTCCGGTGTAGCCCTCAGGCAGAGGTCGTAAGTACTGCGCACACCTGCGGATGTCGGTCAGAGCCCACGGAAGGCCGAAGTTCAAATACAGAGACTCATGGATGTGCAGTTTCGCCCTTCCCTCCACACTCCCCTTCCTCGCCGCCACATCCACCCACTGATCTTCGTTGTCAATGTCTATCTTGGTCGGCTTGGGGAAGTGGCCGGACAGCGAGAAATGCCACAGGTCACACTCGTATCCATGCTCAGCGTCTCTGGGGCCCTCGGGCAGCTCCAGACCGCAATTGATGAAGGCGCCGAAGACATACTTGTCCTTCCTGACCACAAACACGAGAGGCTTCGCGTCGCCCACATTGTCCAGCAGGTCGCCATAGGTGGTGCCGTGCACAGACGCCCTGCAGTCCACACGCACATACACACACAGACGGGGTCTGCCCATTAGCTGTCAGATGATCCCAACCTGCTGCATTATGTGTGTCTACCGGTAGAGTGAGGTGAGTCGTGTGGTGCCATTAGAACTGGAGCTCAAAAGGCTGACCAGCGCCTCATACTCTGACGGAGACACCGGCGCGCCGTTGGGCGGCGGGGGAGTCGGTATAATCGGGGACTGGAAACACGCTCGTCAAAGCATCCAATGAGTGAATGGATCGTGTCCATACCTTTAGCACTTCTATCTCGTCAGCCATGAACTTCCGAGACCCGCCCAACAGAGCAAGGCCAGAGTCGCTCCTCTCTCCCGAGTAGCCCTCAGGCACATCCAAAGCTTCGCTGTGGTACTGTTCGCAGCTGCGAATGTCGGCAGCCGGCTGGACGCTGGGCCAGCCATAACCCAAAAATATAATATATGCGATGTACATATTCGAAGGCCCGGGCCAGATACTCCCCTCCCTCCCCGCCACTCCCACAAACTGATCATATCGGTCGATCTCCATCTTGGTCGGCAGAGGGAAGTGGCCGGCCAATGAGAACCACCACACACCGCACTCGTAGTCGTGGCGGCTGGTCGGCTTGTCGGGCAGCTCCAGACCGCAATTGATGAAGGCGCCGAAGACATACTGGTCCTTCTTGACCACAAAGACGAGAGGCTTCGCGTCGCCCACATTGTCCAGCAGGTCGCCATAGGTGGTGCCGTGCACAGACGTCCTAACACACACACACATACACACACACACAGACGGAATCTGCCCATTAGCTGTCAGTGATCCCAGCTGCCTGTTGGCATGATGTGTGTCTACCGGTAGAGTGAGGTGAGCGGTGCGTCGTCAGTGGAGTTCAACAGACCAACCAGCGCCTCATACTCTGACGTAGACAGCGACGAGTTCTTCGGCGGGAGCATCGCCACATGCAGCACCTCTATCTCGTCAGCCATGAACTCGGCCGACCCGGCCAACACAGCATCGTCTTCGTCATCCCTCTCTCCCGTGTAGTCCTCAGGCACAAAGTCGCTGAAGGTGCGCTGAAAGCAGCTGCGGATGTCGGCAGCAGGGGGAACAGCAGGAGGGCCATCGCTATAGCCGCCGTAACCCAACCACAGATGCCCATCGATGTACATATTCGCACCCACCGCACTCCCGTTCCTCCCCGCCACATCCACACTCAACTGCACTTGTGGTATTTCGATCTTGGTCGGTTGGGGGAAATGGCCGACCAGTGAGAAATACCACACATCGCTGCGGTAGGAGTTGACGTCGGTCGGGTCGTCAGGCAGCTGAATGCCGGCACTGACGTAGACGCCGAAGACATTCTTGTCCTTCCTGATCACCAACACGAGAGGCTTCGCGTCGCCCACTCGGTCCAGCAGGTCGCCATAGTTGGTGCCGTGCGCAGACGTCCTGCAACACACACACACGGAATCTGCCCATGAGCTGTCGGTTGGCATGATGTGTCCCTACCGGTAGACTGAGGTGAGTGGTGTGGTGTCACTGGAATTCAACAGGCCCCCCAGCAGGCCGACCAGCGCATCATACTCTGACGCAGTCAGCGACGTATTGCCAGGAGGGGACACCTGCAGGCCGCGCAAACGGACCTGAACGGACACCAGAGCATTAGATGAGTGAGTGGGTGAATAGGTCACGGTGTGTGTGTGTCACATGCCTGTTGTGCGGGTCTGGCCTCTGTGCCAACACAGGTCGACGCCACACACAGAATCATCATGATAACAGCACTCCGCCAAGCAGCCATCACGTGAATGGGAGCAGAGAGAGAAGAGGACAGAGAGCCTTGTTGGTCAGAGGGAGGACGAGGCAGACAGACGAGAGATGAGGTGAGAGGGACGAGGAAGCTGACAGTGCCTAGATCTCGTCGGCTGATAGATCTCACCGGGTGCTACAATGAATACTGCATCCCGATTGGACGAAGCCGCAAGCGTGGCAGAGGAAGAAGAGGGCAACTCTCCTCCCCTCCCGCTCTCCCTCTCCCTCTCCCTCTCTCCCTCCCCCCGTCTGAGCACGGTTAGGACGTTCCGTGAAACCGCTCTCTCCAATGAATCGTTTTTAGGCAAAGGTGTCAAACACATTCGGTGAGATCTCTCTTCAGTCTGCTCCTTCACCTCTCTCTTCTGACCTCATCTGTCAGCTCACCGGAAAGGTGCCGATCGGAGAGCCCTTCACCATCAGCCATCGCAGCTATGCTTTCAGGCATCTTGCATCGCCCTCGCTGCCTGGCACGTCGGAGGCTATGTGAGATCTCCCCCTTCCCGCCCTCCCAGCCTCCATTTCCTTCATCTGTCGGCCACCAGGTCCGCTTCAAGGGCGGCAAGAAGCCCGTCGGACGCGTCAAGGAGCTTGTCAAGGCCCGCATGTAACCACACATCAAGCTTCATTGACCGTGGCACGTCGTCCGTCTGCCTGTCTGTCTGTCTGCGCAGTAAGGTTCGCGCGTTGGGAGAGCTGGGCAGCGAGGACATCAAGCAGATAAAGCAGCAGCAGATGGGCGCACTTGGAGCGGCTGCAGAGGGCCAATGGGGCGAGGAGGAGCGGCAGCAGGGCGGGCCAGGGGCAGGCGAGCGCCTGCGCAAGTTCGGTGTGTTTGAGGACTACAACGTGGCGCCCTATGCGGCTGAGATGGACAAGCTGCTGGAGGGCCTCAAGAGTAAGCTGGCGGCCATCAAGATGGGCCGGGCGACGCCAGACACCTTCGAGGGCATTCAGGTGCAGACCAAAGCCGGCAAGGCCTTCCTCACCGATATCGCACAGGTCAGAGAACCAACGACACACAAACACACATGCACACATTCACACGCACATATATAGCCGCCCTGTGTGTTGTGCTCAGGTGGTGATAAAGGGCGCGACAACGGTCATGGTCAACGTCTTTGACGAGGCAGACGCCAAGAAGGTAACGTGCAGAGAGCGCAGCGCAGCGCAGCGCAGCAGACGTAGCCGCTTCTTCAGATCATCAGCGCGTTGCGCGCCCACGACAATTCATGGACGATGAAACAGGTGATGCCCAAGCACAGCAATCCACCTGTGACGGTGTCTGCATCCCTTTCCTCTCCCTTTGTCGTGTGTGCCGTCAGGAAGCGCCGACCACTGTCAGGCTGGACCTGCCCAAAGTGAGTCATACGACAGGCTCTCGGTTGTGCATCCATCTCAGTTGTCGCCGCTCATTTGTTTTAGATGACGACTGAGATCCGCGACAAGCTCAAGAAGAAGGCGCGAGAACACCTGGAACAGGTGAGAAGGTGCTCACACATAGAAGTGGACGCACCGGCAGACCCGCGCTTGTGTGTGCCATAGACGAAGTTGAGCATCCAGGACATCAGGAACAAGGGCAGGAAGGAGGCCAAGAAAGTGGTCAGTCAGCACGGCAACAACTGCCACGGCAGACGGAATGACAGACCACCTGAATGTGTGTGTGTCACGTTGTGTGTGTTGTGTGCAGCTGACGGACCGTAATCGTCTGATGTGGGAGGATCAGCACATCAACAAGATCTCATCGGCCAAGGTCGCCATGGCCACCAAACTTGTCGACGACAAGTGCAACGAAATCGGAGGCGGATGAGATTACTTGCCGGCGCGCTTTGCTTTCGAGCGTCAGACGTGTGCAGGTTCTGTGCGCATGTGCCTGTGTATTAGCTCCGTGTGATGGCAATTGCGTGGTGTCGATTTCTCTGTAGCATTTATGGACATGCACGTTCAAGGAGCCAACGCGAGTGTGTCCGATGGATGGACGTACGCAAAAATACTCGTGAGTCAGTCGACAATCCCTCATGAGCAGTAGAATCGTCAGCGCTTACTCGCACGTTTCACTCAATACCACCCTCGTCAACGCTGCAACACTAGCGCTTACACGCACGCAGAGAGAGAGGGATGGAGAGGGAGAAAGGCCCCCCAAAAGCAGAGTGAGTCCGGGTCACCAATGCCCCCCAGGCTGGCCCGCGTCAGGCAGGTGAAAAAGGATGTCGGTCGAATGTGCCATGGCTGCTCGTCTGCGAGTGCGATGTCCGCAGCCAGGCAGCGCTCTGAAAAAACCCATACATCGACACGCAGACGAGTAGAGAGTGGGGCCCAAAATTGCGCTAGCGTCGACGAGCAAGTTGATGTGTGGAGCCAGTCAGCCAGAACTGTGAGATCAAGTGGTTAGTCGACCAGCCGAGTCGCACACGCACACGTATGCACAGACACACCACGTGTGTGGATGGATGGGCGGGCTAAAAAGACGTTAGAAGGCGCATGGTGGATGTCCTCCATCACGTGTGTGTCGTCACATGTCGAGCGACACCTTCACAAAACAATCCAACACGCACATCAGATCACGCACATGCATGCACACGGCACGTGCCACGAACACTCCATTCAGCAGACATTCAATATTTATCAAGCAGTTGCATCAACACAAACTCACCAACAGCACGCAGAAGGCACCCGTCAGCGGCGCTGGGATGCCTGTGCCGCGCATATGGCGCAAATGGCTGAAGCGAGACGTTTCACAGCTGCGTGGAACGACCCTTTGCAGCCTCCAACACCACACGCATGAGCGGCGGGACACCCCACACCACTCGCCCTCTCACTAATCGCAACAAACACATCGCTGTGTACGTCTTCTTTCTATACTGCCTGGTCTGTCTGTCTGTCTGCCTGTACAGCTGGCCGGCGGCACGTGGCCACTGACGCAGCACACAACACCACACCACACCAGCCAAGGCAGTCAGGGAGGCACCTGTACAAGACACTCATGGCGCGTATCGATAAGACGATGTGATAGAGCGTGGTTCGCGAGACAACACCGCGTGCGCGACTGCCACACGAACACGACGGCACCGAGCAGTATTGGCGCATGCACCCGCAGACCGTTGGGCACTCTGAGACCACCACATGCACACACACACACACACACACATGAAATCACCGCATGAGTCGCCCCCCGCCCTTTCCCCTCCCTCCCCATAACACGTCAGGTTGATGAAAAAGCGCGTGAGCACTTCCTGTATTGATTGGTGGCCGTCCCGCCTGCCCGCCTGCTCGCAGGCAAGGGGCCGGCACACCGACTCGATGCGGCTCAGAAAGTGAATTCCATCCATCCATCCAGGTATCCATTTTTGAGCTGAGCTGCGAGCGGCCATGCAGGCAGCAACGCCCTCACTCAGTCAGTATGTACAGACACAAACAATCACACCACCCACATGGAACGCAGAGAGCGAACGAACGGACGAGGGAAGGCAAAAGGCACCAATGCACCAAACCCCACACGCACTCACACCCACCCCTACGCCCACAGTCACCACATCACGCCCGCCCCTGCTTGGTCCCAAACGCCTTGGAGTAGCGGTCCATCAGAATCTCCTCACACGTGCGCTTCTGCGCCGCCACCGGTGTGTTGGTGGTGTTGGTGCTGGCCCCCTCGCCGAGAGGGAATTTGGGGTTGATGTCGAGTGCCTCGACGGGGACGTATGGGGAGGGGTTGAAGAAGAATGGGATGGAGTAGCGGTCGGTGTCCTTGGGGCGGCCCGTCTGCTTCTCGCGGTAGTACACCACGCGATGCACCGTCGACTTGAACAGACCGCCCGTCCACATCTGCAGCATGTCGCCTGGACGTGCACACAAGGGAGAGGAAGATGTGAATAGATGAGGTGTTTTCGTGTGGGTCTTGTCTCTCTTCGCGCGCACCGATATTGACAACGAAGGCGTTGGGGATGTAGGGGACCTCCCGCCATGCGCCCGTGGCGTCGCACACCTCCAGGCCGCCAGTCGCATCCTGGTGAAGCAGCGTGAAACACCTACTCACACAAACCACATAGTCCATCCATCCATCCACCCACTCTCTCTTTCTCTCTCTCTCTCTCTCTCTCCAATTGCTGGTTGTCTCGCTCACCCATAGTCCGTATGGGCTCCGCATGCTATCTCCTTCTTGTACTCGACACCCAGATCCCCACACCCGGCCCTGCCCCCGCCCCCATTGGTCGAGTAGACGTAGTGCAGCAGACGCAGCGTCACCGCCGGACACGTGAAGAGCGACGCGAAGGCGTCGCTGTCCACCCCCATGATAACGGCGAAGTGGCGTGCGAGTGAGCGGCCCAGGTCGGTGAGCTGGTGCAGGTAGCCGGCCAGGGTGGGCTTGAAGGTGGGGGTGACGTGTGTGTCGGGCCACTGGTTGGGGTGGTGGAAGAACGACAGCGGCAGCGAGGGGGAGGGGGAGGGGG